TGCACGTTCGTTTTCACTGCGAAGATGTCTAAGAAATGGTGCTGATATTTTGCCATGTTGAAGGAAAAAAGTTACCACAGGACAACAAGTGTCAAAAACATTTTACCACTTCTTTTTGAAATGTCATATTGGACAAGCAAGTTGTTTCAAGGAAAGCAGTCGGCGACTCCCTTCAGAAACTCTAAGCAAGGTAATATTATCTGGGGAAAGATCTCACTGACGGGTCGAGTAAACGAAAAATGACCTGAGTGTGAGTTAATCTCAGGTCTGACAAGGATCAGGTTGTGGTCACTGGTGCTTAAGAGGTAGAAATGTTTAATAGAAAATGTGTCAGCGTGATCTGTGATTTAGATGAGAGATTCCTCTAGTTGGTTCAGCAATCAGGTCACCGAGGTTTAGACAAAATAAAGGGCTGGGTTAAAGTCACCAGCTATTAGGTGCAAGCTGTCAGCAAGAGATGGGCTAATAACCATAAAATGTGTCAATATATGATAACCTTTAATGGGATGCAATGTATAAATCAGTGATGGCGATAAAAGGAAATCGGGAGAATTTGAGATAACAGATCACAGTCAAGCAACAACGCCATTTTGTGAATACTCAAAAAGTACTTCGAACTTGCCGCACCATTAAGGATTGATGTAAGTAATCACCGCGTCCCAACTTCTCCCTACACCGTTGTCTATTCTGTTTGAAGTAAACGAAATTATTCAGTTGGACCACGGAATCGTCCATATAATCATTTAACCATGACTCTTGAAGACACAAGACACATGAGGTGCAAAATTCCTTTCGCTGGAGCATTTCGGAAGCTTCCCAAACATAGAACGGACATTGTTACTCACAATGGTAGGTACGGTCATCTTGCTGGGAGTAGTACGACCAAGGGTAATTTGCCAACCGGCACGAATTCGGTTTATGCGTTTGCAGTATTTGTGCGCTTGACTAACAACTTGCACTCCAAACATGACAGTATGGTTTTTCCTAACAACATCCTTAGTTTTTAACATGAATTCCTTTGTGTATATGGTTAAAACACGCATATTTAGCAATTCGGGTAGATAAATTTCAGAACACTACGGTGGCGAGAAATTGTAGAGCAACCGTTCAAGGGACGCGTGCCAGTTTGTGAAAAATGCAGTTAATTGAGGACCGGTTTTTATTTCATTGGATCGTTCGCCTTTCGGAAGGGATCATTTATCGCGGTCTTGCCGTAGCATTGGGTTATTCACTCAAATTTATTTAGTACTGTATCTCGGATTTTTCGCTGTAGAAGTGTGGGGAGAGTTAAATGGCGTAAAGGTACAAACGGTGACCAAACTCATACAGCATCTTGATTTTCATCAAATTTATTTCTCTCGATACTTTAGAACCTTGTCCGCAGGATTGAGTATGATATGACATCAGACGGAACATGTACATGATAATATCCACGTTTGATGTTGCTTCCGTTAGTCGAATGCCATTAAAACTTTCGATTTATCGTTTTCGGCGAAGGTTGCTGGTGCATCATTAGTGAAGTACCAAAGCCTCAGTAGAATTAGAATTAATTTATAAAAATGACCCGTAAACATGTTAGAGGTATTGAACTTTCATAAGTGTGAAATGTTCTGTTAATCCTTTATTTTTGAGCATTGGAGCCAGTCGTTTTTGCATGGGTTCCACCAAGTTTACTGCCAAATAGAATTTGCCAGTTTCCTTGTATACACGCCGCACCCTGGCCACTGACGACCACCGCTGACACAGCTAACTTATTCCTGTTTCCAATGCAGGGAAATTTTCTCGATTGCACTCAAATCCCAATTGGGCGGTTCTTGAATGAATTCAACATAGGATTTGACTCATCCAGAAACTGTTAATGTATAAATTAATATATAATGAAGGTGTGATATTATGCTTCTTCTGGCGGAACTAAGACTTTTGCGAATGCATGTCGAGGGTGAGTTTTTGAAAACCTGTCTCATCAGTGGAACAAATTTAGTGCTACCCAAACTGGCTCGCATGTGAGACTAATAAGAAGGCGCTCAGGATTTGCTTTACATCCAAATCATTAGGCAAGATGAATTTTTACTTCCTTTCACAGATGAAACCAAATTATATTGGGAAACCCAGGTCAAAAAATCACGTTTCTCCACCTGCTGTATTACTCATTAACCCCCATTAAGTTAATTCAACGCCCAGTGGACGGGCGACGCGAATTGAATTTGTTGGTAAATTAGTGGGTGCTCGCTTCGATATGGTTGGTTTTCCTCCTGTTGTCATGACTTATAATCTGGGCCAATGTTCACAACAAAACACTTGCAAAAGTCAGGAACTGGGTCATCGGATATATACCCCCTCCCTCCGGAATGAGTTGCTTCGGCTTCAACTAGTTACCGAAAACTCTTAAGCATGGAGACACTCAGGAATTCTTATTCAATGAGCACATATTCCAGATTCAATTTTTGAAGATTATATTTTTAATCGCTTCAGAATGAGGGAATTTACCTGAGTGGTTTTTGGCCATTTAATTTCTCAATTTATTTAACCTAGTGTATTCTCATTATTAGGCTTATTTACTTTGCACCGAATCAGAAAGATAAACACTTTAGAGTACAGGTACTGAGCAGAATAAGTACCCTCATGAAACAGCAATCATTTATAAGAAATAATGAAATTCCATGCTTTACGTAAAACATTTAATTCGGAACTGGAACTGTCGAACAAATTCAAAGTGCTTGTTCAAGTCTGTACATGTACTTACCCACTGTGGTTATCGGCTGGAAGTGGTTAAGGGCTTTAAGTACCTCGGGAGCTTGACCGCAGCTAGTGGTGGTGTTGGGGAGGAGATCGCATAACGAATAACATCACCTAGAGCAGCTTTTGCCAACCTGCGGCAAGGCCATGGCATCCGACTGTCTCTTAAGGGAAAGAGCGTACACCGCCGCAGTTCGTAGTGTTCTGCTTTACGGTTGCAAAACATGGTCTCTCCGAGTGGAAGATGCAAATCGGCTTTCTGTTTTCCACCACTAATGTCTCCCAAGCATGTCCAGTGAGAACATCAGGTGAGCAATGACGAGGTCCGTCGTCGTGTGTGGGCTGCGCATAGTCGTTCTCTAAAAGTAGCTCTACACCGCCTCCGATGTCTTGGTCATGTTTTGCGTATGACTGTGCATCGTCTACCCTGCCGTGTTCTTTTTGCACGCATTAGTCTAGGTTGGAAGATATGTTGCGGCGGTCAGGCCATCATATGTATGAAGAAGCTCTATTCAGCTTTAGCCGCGGTTGGTACATTCTTCCTAGGTTTGGGCCCAGGGAATGAGGGTTGTCGTTGGTTAGAGACGCTGAGAGACATGAGCCAGAATAAAGTCAATGGAACCAATGCTATGCGATCTGCCTTTGAAGATCCCGGGCCCCGTAAAAAAAGATATTCTAGCACACAAAAATATCGAACGTGTAAGGTGAAACACAAATAAATTGTTGTTATTCACTGTTTTCCATTGTAACTGTTTAACCTTCATTTCATCTTGTTCTGTATCCCCGTTCCCTGTCATTGTTGTTATTTTTGTGTCGTTGGCACCATGGTTATCCGCAAGCACGTGTTATATATATATATGTATATGCATATGTATATATAAATATACTCAAAGGTTGATGCGCGAAAACTAAGAACACTGCTATTGGGAATGAACGTCGGAATAAATGCTTCTCGCTAATGTGTATGGATACACTTCTATGATCCTAGAAACAAGTATGTATTGCATAGAAGGAACTCATCGTGTATAGAGCAAATGAAGCGTGAACTGAAAAACTAGGATGCTCTGTACAGCTGCTTGGACCTGACTTGGTCTCATCAGTGCGAACCCATCGAACCAGATGGGGTTCGGACCCAGGACCTCACAGGCAGAACGCAAGCCCGTTATCCACTTGGCCATCAGGTAGTTAGTCGGACCGTTTTCCATTTTCCATTTACACGGTATATCACAACCCACCTTTGCGGGTATCGCGCCTAGTTCATCTCAGCATTGGCCTCCGGGGTTATGACTCAGCTGAAAACTTTCAGAGCCAGACTACTTGTTGCATCTTAGTAATGGTGGATTTGATTCAATTCATAGAAGGAATTCGTCGGATAGGGAGTAAATGAAGCGTGAACTGTATTTCCAATGTGTATTCACAAAATGTGAATCGTATTGCATGAGTCTGTCAATACCTGTAAATTAAAAGTATTATGATAAACTTACGCTCATTAGTTCATGGACTTCCACCTGTTGTCAAATCTGGTACTTCTATTCCGTGATAAGCTTGAACGATCATAATAATTGCGGCCTACGTGTGTTATTCTCTGAGAGTATATAGTACTCAGAATAGGAATCGAAATCGAATAGCGCGAACTCAGAATCCGACTGAGAACCCACTGAATAGCGCAAAGTCAGGTAGAACCAAGACGAGCTGTGGATACAGTTAATTCTATTCAGAAAATCATACAAATATGCATCACAAGCAACAAACAATCATTGGTCGATTCTTGAATGTTCCATGGACAACGATATGGTTTATTTGTTTGACTTCTTGCATTCAGACAATCCGGTTGATGCCAATTGAGACCACATGATTGCTCAATTATTCCGTTTCTTGATTGGTTACCTGGAAGCTATACCGCGGTGCGTGCGTACTCGTTCACACCATTACCACAACTTTCCTCCCTCAAGAATGCCTCATCAATTTAACTTGCTTTTCGTCGTGATCTCCTTAGCTTTGCGCTGGTTGAGGCTTCCGATTCCGCCGGTTGTATTGCATCCTCTTGTCCAACATCATGACATTCAGGCGGTTCGGAATTCGCTAGGGTTATCCTCTTTTTCATGGGGTTCTGATGCACCGACAGTTCGTTCTTTTCTTAAATGTATCTGGTCTATGTACCGTTGGTGGACAGATGCATCCGGCAAATCGGTTATCATCACCGTTGACCAACCCAAGTTTCTAGTGATGGTGCCACGAACCGGGAGCAGTTCGTTTCCCCTGAATTATGTCACACCAGTAGAATCCATACATCTCAGGGAAGACCTCAGGTACCGTGACTTAAATAGCCTTGCTAAACTTTCCTTGGTAGTGGCATGTGTCGCGTTTCGGTATTGCAGTAGGAAGTTGTCCAGAAACGCCTCCAAGTCCGCAATTGATTTCGGATTCGCGGATGCCAGTGCACTCTTGACTGTTTTCACAAGATTCTCAGCTTGATCATTAGAGCAGGGATGTCTTCGGACTGTACGTAAATGTCGATATCCAATGCTATCGAGCCAAGCTTTCGTCTCCGTGGCACTGAATTGAGATCCATTGTCCGTGACGAGCACTTGCGATATACCTTCCCGACTGAAGCACTTCCGGAGAGTCTGGCTCACGAAGGATGTTGTTGGCATACTTGTCAGAAATACTTCGGACCACTTTNTCAGAAATTGGCCGTAGAAGTTCGCATGTACCCGTTACCATGGTGCACAACTTTCTGGCCATGAAGTCCAATTTTTCAGTTTCGCCTTCACTTTGTGTAGACACGCCTCGAAATTCTTCACAGTTGTGCAAATGTCTGTATCCAAATCAGGCCACCAACACATTTTTCGTGCCAGAGATTTCATCTTCTCCACTCCCAAATGGCCATTATGGAGGTTCTCTAAGACTGTTTTTCGGAGCGACAGAGGTATGATCAATCGATTACCGCGGCAGAGAACACCGTCTGGTTGCACAGCCAACTCCTCCCGATGGATATAGAACTGAGGATGTCTCTTCTTTATATGAGGAGACCATTCTTTCGATAGGGCCGAAATAATCACTGGGTAGTATTGTTTTGTATATTTTCTCAACGCTTTCCTCGAAAACGGTGATAGTTGGGTGACAAAATTACATTTCTCTGCGGCGCCAAAGCCTGAGTACCTGGATAAGACGTCTGTCTGTGGATACGTCTTGCCTAGCCGATGTTTGATATCATAATCGTAGTCTGCCACTGCAATACTCCATCGTTAAATCATGGCGGCGGTTGCTTTAGAGATAGACTTGTTGGGGTTGAATAAGAATTGTAGCGCCAGATGATCCGTCACAATAGTAAAGTGCAGTTCAAACAAATACTTGTCAAACGAAGATGGTATTCACTACATGAAAAACAGCGGTTGGTTCCAGCCTTCGGTTGTGTTCGGTTTGAACTGAGTATTTGAGGAACCGAGAGTGTATTACGAACATTGGGTGCGTCACGTAATGGTTTTTTTGATTGCCGATGGAATAGCACAGGAGTATCCGCATTTGTGGCAGCAAACAAATCATCACTTTGCTCACAGATTTTTTGAGTCTCCGCAAACGTGATGTCTCTCTTTCCCAATATCTTACGTTGTAATGAGAAGTTGTTGATTCCAACAATGAGACGATCATAACGTTCTTCCAATCGATCACTAAAGTTGTATTTTGACGCCTGTTTATTCAACTGAAGGATGAATTCGCGGCATGACATGTTGGCGGCTCTGATCACTGAGTTGAATTTGGCCCGTTCAGTGGCCTGAAAATCCACTGGGAGAATGTGGTCCAGCAATAGGGATTTCAACCTCCCGAACGGAAATTTAGCAGGAACATTTGGGAACTCTAAATTCTTGACCAGGTAATATAGCTCTCGGCCGCCCAATGTCAAGAATAAGACCGATTGGTTTTGCATGCCTCCTTTCCGGATGCCGCAACATAGTTCGAAACGTTCCACTCACTTTTCGATTTCCGAAGAGCTTCCGTGGAAGTTCAGTTGTTCAATGGCAGGAATTTCCATTGCGCGACGCCAATTGTAGTACTCGGAATAGAAATCCAAATCGAACAGCGCGAACTCAGAATCCGACTGAGAACCCACTGAATAGCGCAAAGTCAGGTAGAACCAAGACGAGCTGTGGATACAGTTAATTCTATTCAGAAAATCATACAAATATGCATCACAAGCAACAAACAATCATTGGTCGATTCTTGAATGTTCCATGGACAACGATATGGTTTATTTGTTTGACTTCTTGCATTCAGACAATCCGGTTGATGCCAATTGAGACCACATGATTGCTCAATTATTCCGTTTCTTGATTGGTTACCTGGAAGCTATACCGCGGTGCGTGCGTACTCGTTCACACCATCACAACAGAGTACCACGTGCGCTTTAGTTGACAGTAACTGCAGTGATATAAATATCACGAATCTCTACTTCTTGCTCAGATTATTTATATAGATCTTCTCCCAATGAGAGTTAATCAGATATCCCGTCGCCTTCTTGCTCCCCTGCTGTAACTCTTTCGGTAGTCGATTGATGAATTTGAAAACAGAACGAACTAAGTAATGCACTACTTGAAGTGGTCGCTTTGTCACCTGCTATTACGTCACGTTCTTGCATTAAGAAACATTGACTTATATTTCTTTGCTGCACCTCCATAGGGCTCGCTGAACTGTGCGACGCCCCTGTGTTTTTGCGCCCGAATGCAATGTTCGTTTTGGTTTCCAGTTTCATCTTTTGTCTCGCATGCGGGCATTCATTAAACCAGATGGGGATTGTTTACCTTGGTGACCGAGATTAGTAATAGGGTACATTCCTCGACGGAGCTGGTTTATCTGATAGTGAATCATGAATCACGGAATAAACGCCTGTAGAGCGAACCCACAAGTACTTCGAGGGTCAAAGTTTCGTTAATATTAGCTTAGGTTTAG